TTTCCCATCGTGCTGTTTAAATATGAATAGCTAACACTACAGTAAAGAACCAATGAATTCACACTGCCGTGGCTCTGCTGGAAAATGCCAAGAGCTACCTTGGCTTTTGAATCACTGAGGTCTACGTCTCGTTGATTTAGAGTATTTCTAATGCAGCCCTCACAATAATATCCAAATAAGGTAAAGAGGTGACTTGATTGTGGTTTTTTAGTGCCTGCAAATGGGGAGAAGAGATTTAATAGTAGGGGGCTTTTTATCCATCAGGCAAAAATCCACTGGCTAGAAATGAAAGCTAAACACATTTACACTAGTAATTGTGCATTTTTTAACTATGAAGAGGGGACATAATCACAGTTTTCAAGTATCTAAAAGGGTGTCACAAGGAGGAGGGAGAAAAATTGTTCTCCTTGGCCTCTGAGGACAGGACAAGCAGCAATAGGCTTAAACTGCAGCAAGGGAGGTTTAGGTCGGACATTAGGAAAAACTTCCTGTCAGGATGATGAATTACTGGAATAAATTGCCTAGGGAGGTTGTGGAATCTCCATCACAAGTCAAGTATCAGAGAGGTAGCCATGTTAGTCTGGGTCACATGCATCTGACCAACTGGGTCTTTGCCCACAAAAGCTTATGCTCCAGTACATCTGTTAGTCTATAAGGTGCTACAGGACTCCTTGTGTCTTTTCCATCACTGGAGGGCTGTGTCTAGACTGGCAAGTTTTTCTGGAAAATCAGCCACTTTTCCGGAAAAACTTGCCAGCTGTCTACACTGGCCGCTTGAATTTCCGGAAAAGCACTGACGATCTACTGTAAAATCATCAGTGCTTTTCCGGAAAAACTATGCTGCTCCCGTTCGGGCTAAAGTCTTTTTCTGAAAGACTTTTGCGCAAAAGGGCCACTGTAGACAACACAGTACTGTTTTCCGCAAAAAAGCCCCGATCGCGAAAATGGCAATTGGGGCTTTTTTGCGGAAAAGTGCGTCTAGATTGGCCATGGACGCTTTTCCACAAAAAGTGCTTTTCCGGAAAAGTGTCCTGCCAATCTAGACGCGCTTTTCCGAAAATGCTTTTAACGGAAAACTTTTCCATTAAAAGCATTTCCGGAAAATCATGCCAGTGTAGATGCCAGTGTAGCCGAGATGTTTAAGAGCAAGTTGGATAGACATCTATGAGGGATGGTCTAAGTTAGCGTTTCTCCATCAGTGGTATGAGTACCCTTGGGGTACGCAAGAGAAGTCGGGAGGGGATACGTCAACACAACTGAAATTTGGAGAAAACTGAATTTTCGTTTTAAGTTTTACCGCGCTTTCTTATTGTTGTACTTTTTACACACACAAATTTCATCGCCTGCCCAGCTACAATTAAGTTGTTTAAACAAATGAGTTGCAATGATCAAAAAAAATGGTGTGTCTGAAAACTGTAGGTACTGGGTGTACTTGTACTATTTTTTTTTTTAAAAAGGAGTACTTTATAAAAAAAAAAGGTTGAGAAATACTAGTCGAGATGGTGCTTGGTCCTGCCGTGAGGGCAGGGGACGGGACATGATGACCTCTCAAGGTCTCTTGCAGTTCTAATGTTCTGTGATTCTGTGAGAGAATTAACCCTTGTGATTGGCATCCTGTGATTGGCTGGCTTCTTGGTCACTCGAAATCTGTAACTCACCTGGCTGTCTTTCTAAAAGAGGTTGTCTAGTTCTTCCTCAGGCTATTGGCTTCAGTGCCGGGCTCACTGGGTACAATTTTACTGCCTGTATTGTGCAAGCGACGAACTAAGGGATCGTGGCAGTGCCTTTGGGCTCGAGTAGCGAAGAATCGTGGCATGTGCATTCATCCAGGCAACAGACCCGTGGTTTTAACAGTGATGTTTAATAGGTCCAATATAGAGCACTTTAAATGTTTAGATAATCAGGGAGAAATCGGATACATTTCCACCAAGGTAGAGCAGGGCTGTTACACATCAAAGGCCTTTCTAGCTGGCTCTGCTCTCCCATTTCTTTAGTAAAAGTGACAGGTTGATGAGAAGTTCCCAGAGAGTTCAGGGTCTTGTGTCTCAGAGGGGTTCTCCCTGTTAGGCTGTATCTGCAAAACCAGTGAGGAGTCCTGCACCTGAGAGACCAACACAGATGTGTTAGGGCATGAGGTTTCGTGGGGAAAACCCACATCTGGTGAAAGTCGGTGCGCTAATAAATCTGTGTTGGTCTCTGGTGCCACGGGACTCCAAGACTTCTGTGGACCTAGTCATCGGGAAGTGGCTGTCAACCTGTTGCTGGGTTCATTGTTTCAGTGGTGGTGTTAATGATCTGTTACCGTGGCACGTCATTCCAGAACGTGGCTGCAGTCCGGGGGGCAGGAGCACACGGCTAGGAGTGTTGTGCAAACCCAGAAGTCTCTGCCCCACAGGGCTGACATTCTAGGCCAGTGTTTAGGGTTGCCAGATGGTTTAAAAAAAAACAGACAAAAATGTGATAAAAATTTGTCAAGCAAAAACAAAAACAAAAGCACCGGGGGAGGAGGGGTAATTTGGGAGGTCAGGCTGAAATGTGGTTATGGCCCCTGACGCAGCAGGGGAAAATTGTCCGAGGGAAACAGGTATTTTCTGGGGGTTTTTTAACAGACAGGGGACCTGAATAATGGACAGTCCGGGGGAAAACCGGACACCTGGCAATCCTACCAGGCTGTGTCTAGACTGGCAAGTTTTTCTGCAAAATCATCTGCTTTTGCGGAAAAACTTGCCAGCTGTCTACACTGGCCGCTTGAATTTCCGCAAAAGCACTGACGATCTCATGTAAAATTGTCAGTGCTTTTCCGGAAATACTATGCTGCTCCCATTCGGGCAAAAGTCTTTTTCTGAAAGACTTTTGCGCAAAAGGGCCAGAAAAGCGTCCTGCCAATCTAGACGCGCTTTTCCAAAAATGCTTTTAACGGAAAACTTTTCCGTTAATAGCATTTCCGGAAAATCATGCCAGTGCAGACGTAGCCCCAGTGTTTTATATTGTACTAGTTAAACAGAAGGCGAAGGTACCTTCCCCCAGAGCTGTGGCAGGAAAGGCCTTGGTATGGGCATACGGGGGCCTTTTGCAGCAAACATTGCTCACCAGAGGCAGCCAAGTGTGTGCTGGACTCCAGCAAAAGGCCCCCCGGGAGCGAGACTGGTACCCAGGTGCCCAGAGGGGGGTCTGGCTTTCTGCCATGTGGGAGAGCGGAGGATTCTGGCTTCCAGTGCTGGGGGTGGACGTGCAGGGGCGGGGCTTACCAGTTCCGGATCACTGGTGCGGGCTGGCGCAAGGCTGCAGCGGCCCAGCCTCATGGCGGGGGTGCTCCAGCCCAGCAGCGGGGGGGCGGAGCACCCCCACTTAATTGGTTAACTAGTTAAACTTCACGTTTAACCAGTTAACCACTCAAGTAGGATTTTACATCCCTAGTCCCAGTGTCCCCAAATGTCACATGGGCTGTCTTACGGGAGGTCTGGCGGGGGG